ACAGGGAATGGGGAAAAAATAAGAACCAAGATACAGCATGTACAGGTACAAGCACCCAATGATAAATGTAAATGTATTGTTTACCTAAAATGTACCAATAAAAGAATTTAAGCAATGGGGCAGAATACAAGCTTTCTGCTGTCATCACCCTGCAGACACAGTTCTTTTGAAAACTACTTTCACAAAAGACTACCATGTGGGAGTCCAAGAGTCCAGCAGAGAAGTTCCAGCATGCTACTGGGGGCGGGGGGGGAGAAAAAGAATCAATGCACTACAAAGAATAATTATTACTTTTCACCCAGATCACCCCTCCCTATACAAGGCATAGCTTTGGGTCCAGAGAGATTCCCTGGGTGTGATTTCCCCTATAGCAAAGAGTGAAAACTTAGAGAATGAGCACTTCAGACCACAGAGACCTAATAGACATATACAGAGCAACCATCAACATTAACAGAATGCACATTTTTCTAAAGTTCACATGACACATTCTTAAGGACTGTTCAAATGTAAGGCTACAAAAAGAGTCTCAATAGATTGAAATCCTATTGAGCATCTTTTCCTGCCATATGGAACTAGAAACCAAAACAGGAAGAAAACTAAGAACTTCACAAATATGTGAAAAATTAAACTGTAGAATACTTCAGAAGATAACTTCCTACTTACCTAAAAAAAAAACAAGGACAAAAACTTTTAAACTTCATTTCATGAGGAAATTTTTTTCTCTTAATTTTTTTATATTGCATTATGAATAGATGTTTCGAAAATGCTGCATACACATTAAATCATGGTAAATCAAGTCTTGCTGTTGCACTTTCCTTTTATTCTAACATTATAATGTAGATTACCTGTGAAAACCTAATAGTTCATTGGTTATCATCTCTAATAAAAATCATTTAAGTATCTTGCAAAAAAAATACCAATGTGCTCCTAAGCAAATAAAGCAAAAAAAAAAAGTAGCGAAATCAAGAAATGTCTTTGTACAAACAAAAATGGAAATATAATATACCAAAATATATGGGATATAGAGACAAATACCTACTGAAGAAAAAAGAAAAATCTCAGCAACCTGATTTTACACTCAAGGAATGAGAAAAGAAAAAGAAAAGCCTAAAGAGTAGAAACCAGAAAATTACCAGATGATAGCAAAAATAAATAAAATAGGGACTAGAAAAATAATAGAAAAGCCCAAGGAAATAAAGAGCTGTTTTTTTGAAAGATACACAAAATTGATCAATCTTTGTAGCTATACTTAAAAAAAAGAGAGAAGACTCAAATGAAATCAGAAAGGACATCACAAATTATACCACAGAAATACAAAGCATCATAATAAACCACTATGAAAAATTACCATCAAATTGGATAACCCAGGAAAAGGAATCAATTCCTAGAAATATATAACCTACCAGAACTGAATTATGAAGGATTAGAAAATTGAAACAGACCAATAGCAAGTAAGAAGACTGAAATCAGTAACCAAAACTCTCCCATCAAAGAGAAGCCCGGGACCTGGTAGCTTCACTGGTAAATTCTACTAAATATTTTTAAAAGAATAAATATCAATCCTCTAATTCTTTTTAAAAAATAAAAGAGAAAGGAACATTTCCAAACTCATTTTACAAAGCCCATCTTACCATGATACCAAAACCAGACAAAGACACGACAAGAAAAGAAAAATGACAGGCTGATATCTCTGATGAATATAAATGCAGAAACTCTACAAAATACTAGCAAATCCAATTCAACAGCACATTAAAAGCATCATACACCATGATCAAGGGAGATTTACCCCTTGGATGCAAGGATGGTTCACCATTCAGTAAATGTGACACACCACATTAACAGGACAAAATCATTTCAGCAGATGCAGAAAAAGAATTTAACAAAATTCAACAACCTTTCATGATTAAAAATCCTCTCAACAAAGTAAGTATAGAAGTAATGTACTTCAATGCAATAAAGATATTACATGATAAGCTGCCACAGCTAACATCATATTCAATGCTGAAAAACTGAAAGCTTTTCCTGAAATGTCAAGAATAAGACAAGGATTCTCATTCTCACCATTTGTTATGGTTTAGATCTAAAATGGGCCTTAAAAGTCTCATATGTTCAGAGAGGGACTTCTGGAAAGTAACTGGATCATGAGGATGGTATAATCATTAGTAATCCATTGATGAGTTCATAGCCGCATGTGCTTTAGAAGGTGGGGCCTAGTTAGAGAAGGTGGGTCACTAGGGTTGTGATCTGAAAGGGTGCATTCTTGTGTGCCTCTCACCTTCTTTCTCCCACTCTCTGGTTCCTGGATGCCATGGGTTGAGCAGCTTCCCTCTGTCATGGCCTTTTTCCACACTGTTTTTGCCCAGAACCATCCAACCATAACTGAGCTCTCTGAAACCATGAGCCAAAATAAACCTCTCCTCCTTATTGTGCATGTCAGGTATCCTGTTCCAGCCATGGGAAAGTGACTAATACACCACTTCTATTCAACATATAGTACTGACAGTTCTAGTCAGAAAAACTAGGCAAGAAAAAGAAATACAAGACCTCTACATCAGAAACAAATGAGTAAAATTACTTTTGTTTGCAGATAACATGATCTTACACATGGAAAACCTTAGAGACTCTACTGAGAAACTTATAACTAATAAACAAAGTCAGTAAAGTTGCAGGATACAAAACCAATACACAAAAACATTGCATTTCTATATATTAACAATCTATCACCCAAAAACAATATTCAGAAAATAATCTCATTTATAACAGCATCAAAAAGAAAAAAATTCTTGGGAATAAATTTAACCAAGAACTTAAAATATCTGCACACTAAAAACTATAAAACATTGATAAAAGAAATTGAAGAAGCAAATAAACAGATGCCCATAGATCAGAAGAAAATATTGTCAAAATATCCATACAGCCTAAAACAATCTACAAATTCAATGCAATCTCTCAATATTCCAATAGCATTTTCCACATGAAAACATGAAAGTTCTAAGACTTCAATAGCTGAAGCAATCTTAAGCAAAAACAAAATTGGAAGTTTAACACTTTCTGATTTTAAATTGTGTTACAAAGCTTCAGCAATCAAAACATTATCATGCCGGCATAAAACACACACATACAGATGAATGGAACAGAACAGCAATACCAGAAATAAACCTACTCCTACATGACCAACTAATCCCAGGCAAAGGATACATCATGGGGACAGGATAACCTCTTCAATAAATGTTGTTGGTAAAACTAGATATACATATATACAAAAAAATAGATTTTTATCTTATACCATACACAAAAATGAACTTGAAGTGAATTAAAAACTTTAATTAAGGCCTGAAGCCATAAAATGCCTGGAAGAAATGATAGTGGAAATGATCCCTCATATTGTGCTTGGCAAGGCCAGGGATTTAGCTCAGTGGTTCTGGTGCCTGCCTTGCAAGTGCAAGGTCTCAAGTTTGATCCCTGGTACCAAAAACAAAAACAGAATATTGTGCTTGGCAGTAATTTTTTGGATATGACACAAAAAGCATGGGCAACAAAAGCAAAAGTAAACACGTTGCACTGCATCAAAATAAAAAGTTTCTGTACAGCCAAGAAAACAACTGAATGAAAAGGCAGCCCTCACAATGAGAGAGAAAATCACTGACAAATCATCTAGTATTCCGTAGGGATTAATATTCAAAAAACAGGAATTTAAGTCAATACAAGTCAACGGCCCCCAAAATATTTACAGATGAACAAAAACGAAACCTCATGAGAATGGCTTAATTAAAAATGGGCAAAGGACTTGAGAGACTGAGGCAAGAGGATTCTCATGAGTCCGAGGCCAACCTGGGTTACATAGTGAGTTCAAGGCCTGCCCGAAATACTAGACCCTGTCTAAAAGGGGGGCGGGGGGAGCGCATGGTGGCAAACGCCTGTAATCGCGGCTCTCAGGAGGCTGAGGCAGTAGGATTGCTACAAGTTTGAGGCCAGCCTGGGCTACATAGTGAGTTTAAGGCCATTGAACTACAGAGTGAGACCTTGCCTCAAAATACATACATACATACATAAATATTTTTAAGAGGTGAGGGGTGGTCTAGGAGTTGGAGCATTTGCTTTCAGCCCAGGGGCTTCTTCACTGCTGTCTCCTCTTTCGCTACTGTGGCCTACCTCATGGACTGCGGGAGGAGGGGGAGGTCCCAGCTCTTCCTGGTCGGGTTGGGCACTGCCAGAAATCCCGCTTCCCGAAACCAGCTTAAGGAAAGACAACACGCCTCTCCCCGCCCTCTCCTCAGTCCACGTCTTCTCTTATCCCCCTAGTCTCCTTTTCTCGCCACCACTCCCAGCCCAAACCACATCACCTTTGGGTCCGAATGGCCACCCCGGCCCAGGACTAAGAGCGAGAGCGAGCTGCGCAAGCCTGCTGTTGGATCAAGAGCTCGGTCAGCTCCGCGGACCTGGCCGCGCCGGCTGCCCTCGCCATGAGCTGCCTCGGGAACTGGAGGACCGAAAGGCAGCGCGGGGAGAAGGCGCAGAGTAAGATCAGCAGAAAGATTGATGAGCAGCTGCAGAAGGACGAGCAGATCTACCTGGCCACGCACCGCCAGCTGCTTCTGGGTGCTAATAAATCTGGTAAAAGCACCATTTTCAAGCAGGAGAGGTTTTTGCATGGGAAGGAGTTTGATGGAGAAAATGAGAAGGCCACTGAAGTGCAGAACATCAAAAACAATCTGAAGGAAGCTATTGAAACCATCGTGGCCGAAATGAGCTGCCTGCTGCCCCCCGTGGAGCTGGCCAACCCAGAGAACCAGTGCAGAGTGGACTACGTTCTGAGCTCGAGGACCGTGCTCAACTTCAGTTTCCCACCCGAATTCTACAAGCACACCAAGGCGCTGTGGGAGGATGCAGGAGTTCATGCCTGCTACGAGCGCTCCAGCGAGTACCAGCTGATTGACTGCGCCAGGTACTTCCTGGACAAGGTTGATGTCATCAAGCAGCCCCATTGCGTGCCAAGCCACCAGGACCTCCTTCGCTGTTGTGTCCACACTCTTGGAATCTTTGAGACTAAGTTCCAAGTGGACAAAGTCAACTTCCACATGTTCGATGTGGTGGGTCTGTACTATTTCCGCCGTATATGGTGCGAGTACCTCAATAATGTGGCTGCCATCATCTTCGTGGTGGACAGCAGCAGCTACGAACTGAGCGACATGGAGACCAACATATTGCAAGAGACTCTGGACATCTTCAGATCCATGTGGTGCATGTGCCCTGGCTCCCTCTGCGTGCTTCTGTTCCTCAACAAACAAGATCTGCTCTCTGAGAAAATCCTTGCTGGGAAATCGAAGATTGAGGACCACTTTCCAGAATTTGCTCACTACGCTACTCCAGATGATGCTCCTTCTGAGCCTGGAGAAGACCCACGAGTAACCCGAGCCAACTACTTCATTCGCAATGAGTTTATGAGGATCAGCATTGCTTGTGGAAATAAGGACCACCACTGCTATCCTCAGTTCATTTGTGCTGTGGACGCTGAGAACATCCATTGTGTGTTCAGCCACTGCTGTGACATCCTCCAGTGCCTGCATCTTGGAGAGAGCTGCTCTAAGAAGGGAACCCCCAGCTTTAATTAAAGCTGTAAGTTCAATTGATTTAAAGGGATAGAAGAAATAAATATGTACAGTAAAATGGAGACAAGAGAAGCTATAATTTTTAAATTGTACTTTTAAGAAAAACAGCTCTTTGGTACACAAAAGATATTAAGGTCTTTCAAGAAACTCACTCTTTAAAAAAAATTCCTAAGTGTCTAAAAGACACAATAACCCTGAGGGTGTGCTTGTCATTTGTGAAAAGGGCCTTTTCTCCTATGACTAGGCCATCCCCTTTCACATGTGAGATGGGTCTTTTGCCTATAGAGAGGGCCATCACCTTTCCCCTGTAAATTGAATCCTCTCTTCCCATAGACGTACACTTCCCAAACCTCATAAATGTACCTAGCTCCAGGCCACAATGCACATCTTTTGCTTAAGGGCCTATTCTCTATTCTCTTTGAATGTGTGCTTGTAAACAAAACCACTGTGAAATAAACCTCTCTATGCCTCTTACTGATGTGTCTTGAAATCTTTTTCTGTCATCAAGCCTATAACTTATCTGCAGGTGTGCTAAGTTAAAGTACCCTATCTCAGCTTTAGGAGACCTCACCTGACCCCTTCTGGTGACACAAACAGTTAACTGCCCAGTATAGGGCATGATTAACAAAAAGCCTCCTCACCCCAGCCGCAAGTGATTTTGGGAAATCTCCTTTTCCTTTCAGCTTGCTCAGATGCCCCAAATTTAGAAAATTTAAGACAGCCTACAGGGGAAAAATAAGCCACAGAGGTTTCTTCTCACTTTCAGTAAATCAGCACGTAACAGGACTAAAGATATGAAACAAATGAAATAAATATTGTGTTGTTGTACAGCACCAAAAAATCAAAACTTAAATATGAGCAAAGAAAAAAATGGGCAAAGGGCCTAAAGAGGATAGGACCCTAAAGAATATATAAAAATAGACAATAAGTATGTGGCTATTATCAAAAGGTCAAAAGATAACAAGTACTCTCAAGGTTTGGGGGACAAAAGGAACCCTTACACATTGTAAAAGGGAAGGTAAATTGATGCAGTCCTTATGAAAAACTGTAGAGGCTTCTCAAAAAATTAAAATAGAGCTACCCTACCACCCAGAAATTCTATTTCTGGGTATGTATCCAAAGGAAATGCTTTTTATATAATATTTTCAGGCTCACCATGAACTCAACAATCTTCCTATCCCAGTCTCCCAAGTAGCTGGAATTATCTGCACCTAGTATATCAAAATGAAATGAAATCAGTATCCATGTTAGTCAGATATTAATTTCCCATCACTGAGACACAATACTTGACACCTATAACCTAAAGAAGATTCAATACACAATCAATAGGCTCCCTGATGGAAATCTCATGGCAAAAGGATATGGGAAAGCCTGGGGATTTAGCTCAGTGGTTCCACAGCCTGCCTTGAAAGCACAAGGTCCAGAGTTCGATCCCCGGTACCAAAAAAATAAAAAGGATATGGCAAAGCTGCTTAGTTCATAGTGGTCAGGAAGCAGAGGAGGGGAACAGTGACAAAGAGAAATGGATGACAGACTATATAAAGTACCCCAAACTATGCCTCTATGACTGACACTGACATACTCAGGTATGTGCTTTATTTTTTTTTCTTAAATTCTTTTATTGGTACATTTTAGGTATACAACACATTTACATTTCTCATTGGGAACTTGTACCTTTACATGATGCATCTTGGTTCTTATTTTTTCCCCATTCCTAGCC